ATGATGCTCCAACCAACTCAGCCACACAGCCAGGGCATTTGTTACTTTCTTTCAAAATATAAATGACCCTCCTTTAACTGACCTTTCCCATGTATTATAGTAGAGCAATATATAATGTTTTAAAATTGTGTATATAGAGATACTATACTATCTATGAATCTTATTTCATAATTTAAAAGAAGGCATTGTAAAACATTTATTAAATGGACACTATGACATGGTATAGATCCACTGATTTATTACCATTAGAGCCTTCCAAAATTCAAAATTTGCTTTTAAAATGTGTATGTAATCTTTACTTAACATTAAACTCTTCTCCATAGAAAATGTATATTTAAGATATTCTGACAGTTTGAAAGATGATTTAGCTAAAAGCACTAAGAATTTGTTGCAAGCCAGAAAAAAAGCATATTTAAACTTTATGCAATGTATAGGGAAACAAATTGCAATTTATAATTTTAAATTTCTAATAAAATACCATAGATTTTGGTTAATGACTGAAACTCTCTGTTTTTTCTTCATTATAGTTAATATGTCCAGAACTTTAATTTTTAAAATTTAATTTTGTTTCATGCAGAGGAAAAAAAAGGATATTATGCATGGGGTTTTAATGATTTTAATTTATATTCTTTAAATCAGTTCTCTAGAGTCAGCAGTGAATTGGTTTAGCTTAGATAGTCAAAGTGTAGTTTTTAATGTTGAACATATATTTTATAAACTAAAGTTGCAGAACCAGATGGTTTTATCCTGGTATGATACATATTAATTCATAATGCCTTATTTTCAGCACCAGAGGGGTTGTGTCATATTCTACCATTGTCTTTTATAGACTATTTTATAGACAGAACTAGAAATTCTAGTTATATAAAGCTGTTCTAGCACAGGCTGGAAAGTAGGTCATTGTGACGGGGAGTGTACCAAACCACCCACTGGTTGCTATGGCAGTGACCTACTTTAAGAAACAACGTCTGTTGATTCATGCTGAAATCATCTTTGGAAGTGGTATAAGGAAACTCACTGCATGTGTTTTTTCTAACAGTAGTAAGCTAGTGATTGTGGAGGTTAAAAACAATCTTTAAAATGTTTAAAGGGAAGAAATATATTTTCTCACTTAGCACATCTGTAGTTTATTTTGAACTAGTATAGTTAGTGTTACAATTAAATAACATGAAAACTGTGCTTCTGTGTAGGCAATACAATTATGCAAAGGGATATAGTGAGTTTTACTGCCCTGAGGCCTATTTAAAAACTAATCTGTTGCATGTAGTTAATAGCATTATTAATTTAACCTTCAAAGGATTATAATTTCAAGGGAACAATAAGTATGCCAACTTGGAGGTCTGAAAATATATTCCTGTTAAAAGTGTGCCCTTTGTATTTTCAATATACAGTATTTAAAATCATTCCATTCAATATTAGATACCTGTTCTAAGGCACATGTATTTGTAATAAATGAAGGTTGAAATTGGTGTATTCTCTGGAACACACTGAATCTGAACTCAGAGAGAGCTCACTTGCTTCCCAGCTGAGGATAAAGGATGAAAGGTTAGACTTCATATAGCACCCTTTCAAGTAACATTATTTGTTCAGCACTAAAATGATATCCTATCTGTCAATAAGTTGATACTTTGAACCTGAGATATTGGAGGTTTTATTTTATGGTATTATCAAGGAAGAATTATATCCTTAGAGATTAGTTGATTCAGGGTCTTAATTGTACTGTATCATGCCATATGTATTCATATTCACATTTACCTTGTCACTGGAAAAATTTTCATGAAACCTTTATCCAAAATCACATTTAGGGGAAGTGATAAATTCAAGATGATTATGTATATAGGTGTATATAGACTAATTCATTGTCTGCTGTTGGCATGCCCAGGTATTTGCATATAGGAATACATGTTACTTTTTTTCCAAAATATAAATTATGGCCCTGGCCAGTGTGACCCAGTTGGTTGGAGCATCGTCCACCCCATGCACCAAAAGGTGGTATGATCCATTCCCGGTCAGGGCACATACCCAGGTTTCAGGTTCAATCTCCAGTGGGGGCATGTACTTGAGGCAGCTGTATGTTTCTCACATCAGTGTTTCTCTCTCTCCCACCCTCCTTCTTTCCCTTCCTTCCTTTGTCTAAAATCAATATATACACCCACATATATAAATTATTACCAAGGGAGAATAATTATAACTTCTGTTTAATGATATCTGCCGAGTACTAATGATTCTACTAGGTAATTTTATGCTATTTATAATCCTTTCAAGACTCTACAAGACAACTCTGTAGGTCATTTTATCCTATTTCTAACCTTTTCAACAAATTGTATACGGCACATGATGAGATTTGTTTGCAAAATGTAGAAACCAAAACACAGGTTAGGAAACTGTGTAGTTAGAAATGAAACACAGATACTTTATTTGAAATTCATCAGGAGGAGAAGGGTGTGTGTGTGTGTGTGTGTGTGTGTGTGTGTGCGCGCGCGCGCGCGCACTTGCATTAGCTATAAGATGCCATCTGAAAGTTTCTTTAGGATGAGGTACATTGTTCTTTGACAGTTCAGAGAATAAAGAAGTTACAGCTGGAAGACTGAAGATGAGTAGGATATGAACTTGAAGAGATGGGAATTGGGAAAGGTTTTCCAGGCCAAGGGAAAACATGGAGCAAATTCCAGGAGATTGGATGTCTAGGGAAAAGAGATGTAGTTTATTTTGGTAGAAGGGAAAGGAGAGTGGTAGGAAATCAACCTGGAACCCTAAATTAGTGGACAAAGAAAAGAATTTGTTCTTTATTAAATAGGAGATCTTTGTACATGAAAATGTGCCTCAGGAATATTTGCTATTGTATATAATGGATTAGAGTTGAAAGAGATTGTTTGGCAGATCTATTTTAGGTATTTAGTGCCCATCATCAGATGAGTGGATTAAAAAACTGTGGTACATCTATACAATGGAATACTACGCTGGAGTAAAAAAGAACGAGTTCTTACCATTTGCAACATCATGGATGGAACTGGAGAGCATTATGCTACGTGAAATAAGTAGAGAAAGAAAAATACCACATTATCTCACTCATTTCTGGAATATAACGAACAACATAAATGAATAGGGACAGATCTAGAAGCAGAGAAGCATCTATCAGACTGCCAGACTTCAGAGGAAAGGGGGGAGAGAGGGGCAAAAGGAGGAGAGATCAACCAAAGGACTTGTATGCATGAATGTAAGCTTAACCAATGGACATGAACACCAGGGGGTGAGGGCATGAGGGGGGTGGATGGGTTCGGGGTTTAATGGAGGGATAAGGACACATATGCAATACCTAATCAATAAAGAAATTTCTTAAAAAAAAAAAAAAAGAAAAGAAAGAAATAACAAGGTCTAGATCATTATGTTATCCCTCAGTAACATTCTCAAATGTTTAAATTATTCATTTGCTCAGAGTGATTAAATAGGATGTTTATTTTTTTTCCAGTAGAAAATGCTCTATATTTTTCAGATTCGTTTGTCTATATGAACTTGAATTCTACTGATCATGTTTAAACAATGAGATAAATTAATTTAATTATTTTTCTTCCTTTTTTAAAATATATATTTCTTTATTGATTTCAGAGAGGAAGGAAGAAGGAGAGATAGAAACATCAATGATAAGAGAGAATCATTGACTGGCTGCCTCCTGTACGGCCCCTACTAGGAATCGAGCCTGCAATCCAGGCATGTGCCCTTGGCCGGAATCAAGCCTGGGACCCTTCAATCCTTAGGCTGATGCTCTATCCACTGAGCCAAACCGGCTATGGCTAATTATTTTATTAATTAATATAATTTTTATATTTACAAATTAAACTTTTGTTAAGTCACTATTACTTAATGGAAATTAGTGATTTAATTTAGGAACTTTGTTAAGAATACTAAGAAATTTTTGCTGTAGTTAGAAAACATAGATTCTGGAAATAGTAATTTATATATCAACTAGAGGCCCTTGGTGGTGGTGGTGGTGGTGTGTGTGTGTGTTGGGGGTGAGGGGGGGTTTCTTAGCCTGTCCTGAGCCTTCTCATAGTCTGGGAGCCCTCAGAGGATATCTGACTGCTGGCTTCGGCCGGCTCCCTGCACCAGTCCTTAGTGCTGCCACAGAGGCAGGAGAGGCTCCCACTACTACTCCTGTACACACCATTCATGAGCCCGACTTATAGCTGAGCAGCACTCCCCCTGTGGGAGTGCACTGGCCACCATGGGGCAGCTCCTGCTTTGAGCATCTGTCCCCCTAGTGGTCAGTGGCTGTCATATTGACCAGTCGTTCTGCCATTGGGTCAATTTGCATATCAGCCTTTTATTTTATACTAGAGGCCTAGTGCACAAAATTCATGCACAGCGAGGGGGTTGTCCCTCAGCCCAGCCTGCACCCTCTCCAATCTGGGACCCTCTCACAATCCAGGACTGCTGGCTCCCAACTGCTCACCTGCCTGCCTGCCTTCCTGATTGCCCCTAATTGCTTCTGCCTGCCAGCCTGATCACCCACTAACCACTCTTCTGGCAGCCTGATTGATGGCTAACTGCTCCCCTGCCAGCCTGTTTGCCCCTAACTGTCCTCTCTCAGGCCTGGTCACCGCTAACTGTCCTTCCCTGCAGTCCTGGTACCCTGCCAACTGCTCTCCCCTACAGGCCTGGATCCCCCGCAACTACCCTTCCCTGCAGGCCTGATCACCCCCAACTGCCCTCCCTTACAGGCCTGGTCCCTTCCAACTGCCCTCTCCTGCTAGCCATCTTGTGGTGGCCATCTTGTGTCCACATAGGGACAGGATCTTTGACCACATGGGGGCAGCCATCTTGTGTGTTGGAGTGATGGTCAATCTGCATATTACTCTTTTATTAAATAGGAGGATTAGAGGTGATAAGAGATAAGATGATGGAGTTGGCATTTCAACTTTTAGAATAACATGATTTTGCAATATTTTATATCTTCTAAGTAGATATATATTTTAATAACTTTATTAATATCCTCTCCCTAGATTTTTGCTTCAGTGTCTTGAAGATCTTGATTCTAATCTGAGAAAATTAAACTCTCGTCTGTTTGTGATTCGTGGACAACCAGCAGATGTGTTTCCTAGGCTTTTCAAGGTAATCATGCATAAAATAGTAATCTCTTGTCAGAGAAGACACATATTTGGTAAATAAGGTGTTTTGTGTAATTTAAAGTGTGGGTAATACAAGTTTTTAAATAAAAATGTGGGTTTTTCTTTTATTTAGTAAAACAAAAAGTTATACATTATAAAATTAGACAGTAAAAGAAGTGGCTTATAATGAAATTTTTTTTCTGCCTTAAACAGCTAGTTTCTTTCCCAGAAGTAAAAGCTATCAGTTTCTTGTATATTCATTAGAAATATTTTTGAATAAATAATGCATATTTTTGTGTGTATGTTATTATTCCCCCTTTTTTTAAAAAACACAGCATTCCTGGCAGTGCTTTACTTAATAACCATTATTTTGAACATTGTTCCATATTATTTCCCCAGTGTTTTAAATGGCTTCATAGTATTTCATTGTGTAAATATGATATAATTTCTTTAGCCTTCTACTGAACATTGAATTATTTTTCCACAGGCTTTTTGCTAATACAAATAATGCTGTCATTGAACATTCTTGTCCAGATATACATATCTTTGATCACATGTACCACTGCATTTGTGAGATAATTCTTTGAAGAAGACTTTCTGAGTCAAAGGCCTGTAATGATAGACATGCTACCAATAATACAAAACTGTGGTGTGTTGTTTTTTTTTTTAACTTGGTAGAATCATAAAAATCTTCTCATCTTATTTATTTCTTCTTATTTCCAAATAGAGAGATTGAATGAGTTGACCAAAGTCATACAACTAGCTCATGGAAGTGCTCAGACCAAAAGCTGAGTTTCCTAGCTTTCTTTATTTATCCCTTCCTATTTACTACCATTAGAATTTCAAATGTATATTTTCTTTTTGTCTTGCAGCTGTTTAATTCATGAAGTTTTTATAATAGCAGTGTTTCTATTTTTAATTCAAAAGAGAACATTCCCTTCCCTGAATGAGAATGTTCCCAGTGTTGGGATTCAAGTTACACTTCCTAGCTTTTTTCAGCTAGTGTGAAAGAAACCTGTAATGTTTAGGGTTTGGCTAATGCAAGAGTTTTGACTAGTGAAAATTTATTACATTAAAATTTGTTCACTACTGTAGCTGCTTAGAGTCAGAATTTAACTTAGGTATATGGAAGAGATTTCAGTAGAAAGCATATCAAAAACAACAGTAATAGTTGAGTAAAAAAGTTATATGTGGGTAATTGCTTCAACCTTATCTCTAAATTCATATGGTATAAGTAAAATGAATCCTAAAAGAATTGTAGTTGCTTTGAAAATAACAAAACTTTTATTTTCTTGTTTTTAAAAAAAACAAACTTATTTTAACTCAGCAAGTCTTTTGTGTTCTTTGTTTTGATAATTTTTTTGTACAAAATAGCATATTATTAGATCAAATAGTCTTTTGCAATTAGATGATCTGTCTAGTCAGTTTGCAGAGAGGCACATACACATAAAGTGCTTATTATTTTATTCTGATTTTTCTTTGGGCTACATACAATAGTCTCTATAAAATGGCATTTATGAAAACTTTCTTTCATATTTATTTACTCTGTCTAGGACAATGGTCAGCAAACTGCGGCTCTGTTGACTAATGAGTTTGCTGACCACTGATTTAAGACATAGAGGGAATTAAATTTTTTTCTTTTTTTACTGTATTGATGTGTGTTTTCTAAAGTGTCGTTTAGAGGTTACTACATGCATGTTTGGAAAAACGAAAGTCTAAACGGTTATAAAATAAAAAGTATATCTCCTTCCCTACCCTAATCACACTCTTAGTTTCTCTGAGGGAAAAAATACTGTGTCTATGACTAGCAGACTCATTTACATTATTGCTTCTGGGTTTAAAAAAAATTTTTTTTTTTAATTTTTATTATTTTTTAAAGAAAGAAGAAAGGGTGAGGGGGTGGAGAGAGAGAAAAAAACATTGATTGGTTGTCTCCCACATGCTTCCCGACTGAGGATCAAACCCACACACTAGGTATGTGCTCTGACTGGGAATTGAACCCACAACCTTTTGGTGTAGCAGATGCTTCAACCAACTGAGCCACCTGGCCAGAGTGCCTCTGGTTTTATTATTTTAATACAGAAAATAGTGAGATTTTTTTAATAGGTAAGTAATCCTATTTCCCACATTAGAGGTAAAAATAGTTGAGACCTGATAACAGTATCTTTAATTTATTGGGTTGGTGACAATAGTTTCAGTATTGCTGTCTTTTTTAGCATGCATTTTCTCCTCTCTATAGCATTTGTTCATTCCATTTCTGTTGAGTAGACTTGGGAATGGGATCAGAGCATTTTTATATACACATATTTACATACATATATGTTGGATAACTTTTTTCTCTGATGTGTTTTGAGCCCTAGCCAATTAAAGATTGATGTGTGTATAATCATTTGATATACAAATTACGAATTTAATTTTCAGTCTTCATTCTTAAAATTTGTTTACATTTTGCCCCTTCATCTTATTTTAGGAATGGAACATTACTAAACTTTCAATTGAGTATGATTCTGAGCCCTTTGGAAAGGAACGAGATGCAGCTATTAAGAAACTGGCTACTGAAGCTGGAGTAGAAGTGATTGTACAAATTTCACATACATTATATGACCTAGACAAGTAAGTATGCTGATATATAATTTTAAAATATATATATTTTATTGATTTTTCAGAGAGAAAGGGAGAGGGATAGAGAGTTAGAAACATCGATGAGAGAGAATCATCGATCAGCTGCCTCTTGCACACCCCCTAATGGGGATGTGCCCGCAACCAAGGTACATGCCTTTGACCAGAATCGAACCCGGGACCTTTCAGTCCGCAGGCCAATGCTCTATCCACTGAGCCAAACCCGTTTCGATATTTTTAACAAAAGCATGAGCAAATAGAAAATAGCAAGTTATCACTATAGTAATATAGAATCCTAATTAATGATACTTTGTTTGCTCCTTGATATAATATTGGCCTGGTTTAGTTTTTATTGATTGATTAATAGATTCTTTGAGTTGAGTTATAATGTCTTTACACTTCTTCTTTGAGCTAAGTTATATGTTTTTACATTTTTATGGTATTGCTTTTAATATGTTATTGTTATTTGGCCACTTGTTTTTTCACTCATAGGTGCTTAATATCCTTTGTCTTAAAGGTTTTGGTATTTTCATGCTATATATTTTTGACATCTAGTTAGATGTCTAGAAAATGAAGGAAATTGTTTTTTTATTCTTTACCATTTTTAACAAGTTTCCTGGTCATTCTATAAGTTAAGTAATTTTATTTATTTTCTGGTTTTAAGCCTTTTTAGAGCTTAAATATATTGTCTTTTTTTTTATACTAACTAGGTTTTACTAACTTTTGTAATAGGATCATAGAACTTAATGGTGGACAACCGCCTCTTACTTATAAAAGATTCCAAACTCTCATCAGCAAAATGGAACCACTAGAAATACCAGTAGAGACAATTACTTTGGAAGTGATAGAAAAGTGCACAACTCCTTTGTCTGATGACCATGATGAGAAATATGGAGTCCCTTCACTGGAAGAACTAGGTAGGTATAAATGGTAAAAATTGAAACTTAAGAGCTAATAAATCACATAGAAACTCATTTCTGATTTGACATGTATTTTGCATTAAAAGAGATAGGAGAAAAAGTAAAAGAAACCAAAACTAAGACGTGATAAATCTGTGTATTATTTGTGTTCTAAAATATGTGATCACTCTGGCTGGTCTGACTCAGTTGGTTGAGGTTGATGGTTTGATTCCCAGTCAGGGCACATGCCTGGGTTACGGACTGGTCCCCTACCAGAGACATGTGGGAGGCAGCTAATTAATGTTCCACTCTCACATCAATGTTTCTCTTTCTCCCTCTCCTTTACTCTCTCTCTATAATTAATAAATATATTTTTAAAAATAAAAATAAAGTATGTGATCTGTTATCACCTTAAAATACACATTTTAAAGAATAGAAAACATTATTATTATATGTGAGGATCTATCCAGGGTCATCAATTCATTTTTATTCTATTGTCATAATTTTTCTTCAATTATTTTTCCTTGCAATTATTGGGGTGAAATAAAAAGTATTTATGTTCCGGAATTATTATTATTTATCTTTTTATTTTTATTTTTTTAGGTTTTGATACAGATGGCTTACCCTCTGCAGTTTGGCCAGGTGGAGAAACTGAAGCACTTACCCGTTTGGAAAGACATTTGGAAAGAAAAGTATAATAATATATAGATCATGCACATATTTCCAAACTGGCATTGTAAAAATAATTTTGCTTTTTAAAAAAAACACAAAAAATAGACTGGTTAAAAAGGATAGAGAGAAATACTTAAAATAGCATAAACTGGCTGGCCAGTGTAGCTCAGTGGTTGAGCATCCACTTATGAAACACGAGGACACTGTTCAATTCCCAGTCAGGGCACATACCCGGGTTGCAGACTCAGTACCGTGTGTTGTGTGCAGGAGGCAACTGCTCAATTATTCTCTCTGATCATTGATGTTTCTATATCTCTCCTTCTCCCTTCTCTGAAATGAATAAAAATATTTTTTAAAAAAACGGCAGCCATCTCTTTCAACCCAGTTTTCCTTGGAAAAAAAAATAGCATAAACTTAATTGTTTGAAAATGACCTACTATCTCTTTATTTAAATACTTTTTCCTCCTATTCTGATTATTTCCTCTTTAGCTTTTACCAACACTACCTCTTCTTTTTTATGTAAGTTGGTATCTGATGACCATAACTTTGAAGCTAGGGTAGAGTTCTTTTATTTCATCTTTACTGCAGTGTCAAAGAGACAGGTGAAAGGAGCTCTCAGTGTTGTGTTAGGAATTTGGAGGTAATTTATATCACACTAGAGGCTCAGTGCACGAAATTCATGCAGGGCGGGGGGGTGTCCCTCAGCCCAACATGCACCCTCTCCAATCTGGGACCCCTCAGGGGATTTCCGACTGCTGGTTTAGGCCTGATCCCTGCGTGGGATTGGGCCTAAAACGGCAGTTGGACATACCTCTCACAACCCGGACTGCTGACTCCTAACCACTTGCCTGCCTGATTACACCTCACCGCTTCTGTCTGCCAGCCTGATAGCCCTCAACCCCTCCTTGCCTGCCTGGTTGACACCTAAATGCTCCCCTGCTGGCCCAATTACCACTAACTGCCCTCCCCTGCAGGTCTGCCCCCCCCCCCCAATTGCCCTCCCTTACCGGCCATCTTGTAACAATGTGGGGGCAGCCATCTTGTGATAATGGGCGGGCACTCATCTTGTGGCGGCCCTCTTGTGATGACACGGGGACACTCATTTATGACAACATAGGGGTGGCCATCTTGTGATGCGAGGGCACAAGGTTCAATTTGCATATTACCTCTTTATTATATAGGATGAGTATATGCTACATGGGGATGGTTGAAAAAATTAAAAAAAAAAAATTCAGATTATTAGTTATTCATCTTTCCCCCCCCCATAACTCCCACCCATTTCCCAACACCCCCCCTGCTCTTAACTCCCCCACTGTCTTCGTCCATAGGTCTAAGATTTTTGTCCAATCTCTTCTCACACCCTCCACACCCCCTTCCTCCCGAGAATTCTCAGTCCACTTTCTATGCCCCTAATTCTATTATTCACCAGTTTATTGTGTTCATCAGATTTTTTATTTACTTGATTTTTAGATTTACTTGTTGATAGATATGTATTTATTGTCACTTTGTTGTTCATAATTTTATCTTTTCCTTTTTCTTCTTCTCAGCATCCATCTAATAAAAGAGTAATATGCAAATTAATCATCACTCCACTAAACCCACAAGCCACATCCACAAGCCAATAAAGAGCAAGTATGCAAATTAACCCAACCAAGATGGCTACAGCCACAGAGAGAGCTGGAGGGAGGCTTGGGTTTCCCTGGCAATGAAGGAAGTCAAGCTTTCCATACACCCTGGCTGGCCCAGGCCTCCACTTAAGGCTACAAAGTTTCAATTATAGAAGATAAATAAATCCCAATAGAAATGGCTGCTGCCACAGAGTGAGCAGAAGGCTTGGATCCATTCCAGGCTACAAAGTTTCAATTGTAGAAGATAGATAAATCTCTCATACCAAGGCCTCTGCTTGGATCTCCAAGGGGTGTGGCCAGCCTGCAAATCACCACAGGCCCCTCACCCAGGCTTCCCCTTGCCCCAAGAGAAGCCTCACCCTGATCCAGGATGCCCTTCTGAGCAAACCAGCTGGTCCCCACCCATATATCAGGCCTCTATTCTATCTAATAAAAGAGTACATGCAGTTGACCATCACTCCAACACACAAGATGGCTGCCCCCATGTGGACACAAGATGGCCAGCAGGGAAGGGCAGTTGGGAGGGAACAAACCTGTAAGGGAGGGCAGTTAGGGGTGATCAAGTCTGCAGGAGAGGGCAGTTAGGGGTAACCAGGCTGGCAGAGGAAGGAAGTTGGGGGCAAACAGGCTGGCAGGAGATTTAGATATCAATCAGGTTGACAGGGGTGTGGTTAGGGGGTGATCAGGCTGACAGACAGAAGCATTTAGGGGAAATCAGGAAGACAGGCAGGCAAGCAGTTGGGAGCCAGCAGTCCTGGATTGTGAGAGGGATCCCGGATTGGAGAGGGTGCAGACTGGGCTAAGTGACCCCCCACCATCCACAAATTTCTTGCACTGGGCCTCTAGTTTAATATAATACTGATTTGGCGGTGACAAACTTCTTGAGCTTTTTCTTATCTGTGAAGCTCTTTATCTGACCTTGAATTCTAAATGATGACTTTGCTGGGTAGAGTAATCTTGATTGTAGATTCTTGCTATTCATCACTTTGAATATTTCTTGCCATTCCCTTCTGGCCTGCATAGTTTCTGTTGAGAAATCAGCTGACAGTTGTATGGATACTCCCTTGTAGGTAACTAACGGGTTTTCTCTTGCTGCTTTTAATATTCTCTTTTTCTCTTTTGCCCTTGGCATTTTAATTAGGATGTGTCTTGGTCTGGTCCTCTTTGGATTCCTCTTGTTTGGGATTCTCTGCGCTTCCTTGACTTGTAAGTCTATTTCTTTCACCAGGTCGGGAAGTTTTTGACATTATTTCTTCAAATATGTTTTCAATATCTTGCTCTCTCTTTTCTGGCACCCCCATAATTCGGATGTTAATACGTTTGAAGTTATCCCAGAGGCTCTTTACACTATCTTCATATTTTTGGATTCTTTTTTCTTTTTCTCTTACGGTTGGGTGTTTTTTCTTCTTTGTATTTCAAATATTTGACTTGATTCTTGGGATCCTCTAGTCTTCTGTGGTTCTCTATATATTATTTATTTCAGTCAGTGTATGCTTAATTTCTAATTGATCCTTTTTCATATCCTTGAGTGTCTCACTAAATTTCTCGGTGGTTTCTAAAAGATTCTTAAGTAATCTTATAACCGTGGTTTTGAACTCTATATCCAGTAGTTTGCTTTCCTCCATTTCTTTCATTTATGACATGTTTGTTTTTTCCCCCTCTGGATTTTGGCTGCTTCCCTGTGTTGATAGAATGGCCTTGAGTATACTAGGTGTCCTATAGGGCCCAGTGGCTCAGCCTCCCCAATCACCTGAGGTGAACACTCTGGGTGCATCCCTCTGTGGGCTGTGTGTACAATCTTGGTGTAGTTAAGCCTTGATTGCTGTTGATATCGGTGGAAGGAATTGACCTCCAGGTCAACTGGCTGTGAGGACTAGCTGTGTCTACAAGGGAAGAACTGCTGTGCTGGAGACACCCTTATTGGGCACTACTTGCTTCAGCGGGGCTTTGGTGCTCACGGAGTCTGCCCCTTGAGTGTGTCACTTACGGATGTGAAGAGTTGTAATCTAGTATGGTCTCACACTGACCACTGGGTACACTGGCTCTTGGATCTCCAAGGAGGTGCAAAGTCAGCCACTGTCTGAAGCCACCCAGCAGAAGCTACAGAGAAATGTGCAGATTCCTCCTCTTTGTTTGGGGTTTGGAAGTGCCCAGATGAGGCCCAGCTATGAAGCAAGGCTGGCTGCTGCTGCCAGGCCTTGGGCCTTCTTTTGGAAGCTTTGGAGCTCTCTGACCAAGTGCAGTTTGTTAGGTTCTAGGCTGCAAAAGGCTAGGTCATTCATACACAAAAGCCGCTGCGCATAGCTTGGATAGGGTTGTAAATTGGTTGGAGTGGTGTCTCAGGAAATCACCAGGGCAGAGCAAACAGCAATGGCTGCTCGTCGGCCCTACCCCAAAGAGGCCCCCGGTCTCTGGTCCCACGGCACCATGCAGGAACAGTGATCACTGCAAGCACCTCTGTGCTTGCATTCCAGCTCAATGCCAGTCCATTTTCTCCCTGTCTGAGTCTGTGTCCCCAGGTTCTTGTCTGGAACTGAAGTTCAGAGCAATCGGGGTTTGTATTTCCCTCCTGATTAAAAAAAACAGTGCACCCAGTTGTCAGGCCATTTCGTGTGCACCTCCGGTTCTGTGCACTTTTTTATTTTCTTCTGGTTGTAGAACTTGCACTCAGCCAGTTTTCCCATGGTTCTGGATATCCATTTTGTCTTTTACTTGTAGTTATGATGTGGTTGTGCGAGGCAGCAAGTAAAGGTGTTTACCTATGCTGCCATCTTGGTTCCTCCCCAGAATTCTCACTTTTATCCTTTCTTGTTTTCTATTAAAACATGTCATTGCCGAAACCGGTTTGGCTCAGTGGATAGAGCATCGGCCTGTGGACTGAGGGATCCCGGGTTCGATTCCGGTCAGGGGCATGTACATTGGTTGCGGGCATGTCCCCAGTGGGGGGTGTGCAGGGGGCAGCTGGTCGATGTTTCTCTCTCATTGACGTTTCTAACTCTCTATCCCTCTCAATTCCTCTCTGTGTAAAATCAATAAAAATATCTTTAAAAAAAAAACACAAAAACATGTCATTGTGGCTGGAATAATAAGACTTTTTCCCCTAAGAACTATGTAACAGTTTTTAAAAATCTAAATCTTAAACATTCCTTTAAAGTGAAAAAGTTAAGGTAATTCTCTATGTGTTTTCAGGCATGGGTAGCTAACTTTGAAAGACCTCGAATGAATGCCAATTCCCTGCTTGCTAGCCCTACTGGACTCAGTCCTTACCTCCGATTTGGTTGTTTATCATGTCGACTATTTTACTTCAAACTAACAGATCTCTACAAAAAGGTATTAATTAAAATTGCATTATTTTATTTTATTTTTATTTTTGAAGATGCTTCTTTAAAAATTGCTTTTAATACTTTTTTGCTTTTTAATCTTAGGTAAAGAAGAACAGTTCCCCTCCCCTTTCCCTTTATGGGCAATTGTTATGGCGTGAATTTTTCTATACAGCAGCCACAAATAATCCACGCTTTGATAAAATGGAAGGAAACCCCATCTGTGTTCAGATTCCTTGGGATAAGAATCCTGAGGCTTTAGCAAAATGGGCAGAAGGACGGACAGGTTTTCCATGGATTGATGCCATTATGACACAGCTTCGTCAGGAGGGTTGGATTCACCATTTGGCCAGACACGCAGTTGCTTGCTTCGTTACACGAGGTGACCTGTGGATTAGTTGGGAAGAAGGAATGAAGGTAAGTGTTCTAACCAATGTAGCGTGTCTTATTTTGAAGGACTGTATACTTTACTAAGACATTTCCTAGAAGTTGTCTATTGTGTTTATTCATTTATAGTTTAGTTTTTCACTGGTCAAAGAATTTAATTCCTGCAATACAATCACACTTTTGGGGACCAGTATGGTATAATCAGACAGGAGATATGGCAAAAACTGGTTCAGTTCATTTCAAGTCACTTCTGTGGCTAAACCAGCCTTGCCATCAAGGGATATATAAGATTTAATGCTCTCGACTTAATTGCATTGATATACTTACAGGTAATCATTTCTGTCACAGAAAAGATTCACCCAAGAGTTTTTATAAATAGTGAATTCATAGCATACATATAAAAATATATATCCTTTCACTTCACTTCAGCTTCACAACTTTTTGGTAGTACTTTCATTATGTAAAATGAAGCATATTTTATTTTATAGCATCATATTGGTTATACATAACAGTACTTATATTTTTTACTTTCCTACTTATATCATAAATTTCCCCTCTCCAAGACCAGTTCTGATCCTGTTGTTTGTTTGTTTTTTAAATATATTTTATTGATGTTTTACAGAGAGGAAGAGAGAGGGATAGAGAGTTAGAAACATCGATGAGAATCATCGATCAACTGCTTCCTGCATACCCTCTACTGGGGATGTGCCTGCAACCAAGTTGCATGCGCTTGATTGGAATCGACCTGGGACCTTTTGGTCTGCAGGCCAACGCTCTATCCACTAAGCCAAACCTGTTTCGGCCCTGTTGTTTGTCTTTACATCTGTTATATTTCCTAGTACAGAGTTTACATGAGGAAGATGTGTAACACCTTCTTCATGAATTTATTAAAAATCTTTTATTTTAATTGTTTTCCTCTTGGATCAAGAAATTCCAAACTTATTTTAACAATAAAGATTTTAAAAATAAATAACTGATATTCCAAACGTAAACTTTGCATTTTCCAAAGTCATTTAATTTGGATGCTCTCTTTAGGTTTAGCAAGCTTCTACGTTTCTGTTGGTGATTTATTTGTTAGCATTTTTGCTTTTTTGAAAGTGTTTCTTGCTTTTATGTTTTTCATTTTTTAATCTCATATTCATTTTAAATCAGTGACTTGAATAATTTTTCCCTTCCTCCCACATAATACTGCCTTTTGAGAGAAGGGAGAAAGGTAAATTCTCTTTAGAAATCCACTTATGTTACTGATATATTTCTTTTCCTGAAATAATTCATAGAACAAAACAGAGATGAGGAAGCTAACTTTGGAATGTTTAATTTTATAGTTCTATGCTAGATTTTCTTTGCCTTGACTTTTGATCTACAGAGACCTGGAAAATGCTTGCTTTGAGAATTATGTGTGTGCAAACTAATTGGTCACTATTACTTCTGAAGGTATTTGAAGAATTACTCCTTGATGCAGATTGGAGCATAAATGCTGGAAGTTGGATGTGGCTGTCTTGTAGTTCCTTTTTTCAACAGTTTTTTCACTGCTATTGCCCTGTTGGTTTTGGTAGGAGAACAGATCCCAATGGAGACTATATCAGGTAAATTAAGGGTAATTGTTATTAGTTTGGAGTAACTAATCCAGGAAGAGCTTTTAATGTTTAACACTTTAAGTATACTCCTCATGATAGTCAGCAGAGATGAGGAGAAGGGTTAACAAATCATTTAAATGATACTGATTTGATCTTGGTCATTCATAGCTAATAAATAGTTTGTTATAATTTGCTTATAGTTCATTTTATTAATAATTTCTCTCCCTTATCCCAAAAGGCGATATTTGCCTGTCTTAAGAGGCTTCCCTGCAAAATATATCTATGATCCCTGGAATGCACCAGAAGGTATCCAAAAGGTAGCCAAATGTTTGATAGGAGTTAATTATCCTAAACCAATGGTGAACCATGCTGAGGCAAGCCGTTTGAATATTGAGAGGATGAAACAGATCTATCAGCAGCTTTCACGATATAGAGGACTAGGTATGTCAGTAACAGCCTTTGATTTGCTTCTTTGGCAGCTACCCTTGCTTTTATCTTGATCATAATTTAATAGGATATTTTTTCCCTTTAGGTCTTCTTGCATCAGTGCCTTCTAATCCTAATGGGAATGGAGGCCTCATGGGGTATTCTGCTGGAGAAAATATCCCAGGTTGTAGCAGCAGTGGAAGTAAGTGAAAAGGAAATTTCTATATTTAATAACAAGAGATTAATAATCAAATATATTGTTTATTAAAACTCACTGTTTTTAAATATCTCTCTTTAAAATATATGTAATAATTCTTTGTACATGTGCATACATGTGTACACATATATATACAACACACCCTAACTGCGTTTTAGTGACATTTTAGATAGAAAGCATCATTGTTTGTAGTGGAATTTAAGTCAAGGTAAAGATCTTCTTGCAAACTGAACAAGGAGAGTGATTTTTAAGGATAAAATAAAACTCAAATATTGTATTTTCAAAATACTCATTACTTTTTACTCTCTCTAGGTATATATCAGCTATAAGGTAATAAGTATTAGGTCAGTGGTCCTGTGAACATGGCCAAAAAATTTATCATAGACCTCTAGTCTTTGCACATGAGTTTTTCCTTACAAAGACTGATTTTAATGGTTTTCTGTATGATATATGTTTAGTTGCCACACATATATATTTTTTAATCCTCACCTGAGATCATGTTTGTTTATTTTAGAGAAAGGGGAAAGGTGGGGAGTGAGAGAGGGAGAGGAAGAAATAGAAGGAAAGAAAGAGAGAGAGACAGAGAGAAAGGGAGGGAGAGAGAGAGAGAGAGAAACATCAATGCGTGCGGGAAATATTGACTGGTCATCTCCCATATAACCCTGACTGGGCATCAAACCTAAAATCTGGTATGTGCCCTGACCAGAAATTGAACCTGCAACCTTTTGGTGTTTGAGATGACGCTCCAACCCATTTAACCACCCAGCAGGGTGCCACATATGTTCTTAATTTGTGTAATAATATTGTTAAGAAGTCAGTATATATTTGCAATTTGAATAATTATGTCAGTTTTCAGATGTTCTAACAAGAAATAGCATGAAACTAATTAATTTGTAGTCTTAATATATACTACTTAGAATTTATGTAATTTTACTGTGTTTTAAATACTAACAGGTTATACTCAAGGGAGTGGTATTTTACATTATGCTCTTGGAGACAGTCAGCAAACACACATATTCAAGCAAGGTAAGAATAAAGTGTTTGAGCCCAGCCAGTTGGCTTAGCTGGTTGAGCGTCAACCAAAAAGGTTTCAAGTTTGATTCCTCATCAAGGCACACATCTAGGTTGTGGGTTTGATCCCTCGTGGCACATATGGGGGAGGTATGGGAGAAAGCAGATCAATGATATTCTCTCTCCCTTTCTCTCTAAAATCAATGGAGATTGTCCTTAGATGAGAATTAAAAAAAAAAGAAGAAGAAGAAAGCATTGAGCATACTGTTGTGTCTCTTCACCTTTCCTATCTTAAATATACATTTTTAAAATGTGTAGGAAGAAGCTCCATGGGCACTAGTCTCAGCAGTGGGAAACGTCCTAGTCAGGAGGAAGACACACAGAGTATTGGTCATAAAATCCAGCGACAGAGCACTAATTAGGTAAATATTTTATAGCCTTATTTCTTGCTTTAGTGGACTGTGAATCAATATATATTAATATAATTTCCAAAATGGAGTTAACCTCTCTATTTTCAGACTAGAGAGGCATAAATTTTTCTGTGATTGTTACAAAATCAATTAGTTCTTAGACAAGAGAAATGCATCTGTACTGAACAAAGTGCTGTATTCAGTTTTCTAGTCATCTCAGTCAATTATATTTTAATGTGAAAAGCTTATAAATTTGTGCTCAAGTTTGTTTGTTTTTTCTCAAAGTCATCTTACTCATTTCCTTCCTGTGTGACAAATCTAAAACAGTTAAAGTGACTTTTTAATTTTAGTGGTATTAATATAAACCCTTTATGAATTTTTCTCCAAACCTTTGCCTCTCAAGTTTTTGTAAATTTATTTTACCTGTTGTGATACTTTTAAAATCTAAATTCTTTCCAGTTTGGAAATAGTTTAAAGTTTTTTGGGTTTTTTTTAATGATGGCCCTTTTTGGAAGTATCAAAATGCCATGCCTGTCTGTATTCAGTATATATATGCTATACTATTTTGTGATTTAAATTTATATGAGAAGTATCTTTTAAATATATATTTTTTAATTTCAGAGAGGAAAAGAGATGAAGAGAGAGAGAGAGAAACATCAGTGATAAGAGAAAATCATTGAGCAGCTATCTCCTGCATGCCCCCACTAGGGATTGAGCTCACAACCCGGGCATGTGCCCTGACCAGGAATCGAACTATAACCTCCTGGTTCATAAGTCGTCACTCAGCCACTGACTCACAGCAGCCAAGCTGAAAGTATTTGTAGTGTGTTTGACAGTTTTTGAAGACATTTGTTTCTTCAGTTATCTTAAACTATTTATATTTTTTAAATTATCACTGTTTTTTATTGCCAACTTAATTAGACTGTAAATTTCTTAAAAATAAGATCAGTAAATACTCATAAAATTTTTGTCATTTAATTCCTTGCAATTAAGCTTTACCCAGTTTTCATTTTCTTTTTTTTTTTTTCTCCCCCCTTAAATCACAGAAAATATTCAGGAGGAATACTGTTCCAGCTGAAATTGGTGGGGAGTTCAATACTTTTTCAGTTGAATTATATTAAAATGTTCTTTGTTGATGGAAAGCAGTTATTTCTAATTATATTTCTGTGGTTTTTAACTTTTCAATGAATTTCACATAGGACACATGGTAATTTGTATATAAAGAACTTGGTAAAAGACTTTGCTTAATATAAATATAAATATCACAATTAGTATAGACCCATCAATATATTTTTGATAATTTTTCATGTATGGTAAAAGTTAAAGTGGCAAACTGATATTCTGATGATAAAAAAATCAAAGTTTTGATTGTCAATGTGGGAAGATAGGAGGTTTTTAGACTTTCTTAAAAAACTTTGTTAAAATTTTTTTGACATTGTTTGCTCTAACTTTGCACTCTTTGATAAAAATGTTTTAGGAAACGTAAGTAATCAAAATTGGTAGTTTATAGCTTCTGTTAACAGACAGTATATGTTTTCTGTATGTTAAAGCTTCATGTATGCCTGTTTGACCAAACTCATGCAATAATCATGTGTTAAGTTCTCTTTGTCTCCCTTTGTTTGTTCATTTACAGTTACAGTGACCTTTGTTATTAAAGTATATGCATATATAGAATATTGTGTATTTGGTTGTTTTTCTTTTTTTACTTTTTGTTTGTTTTGAGAAAGGGGAGAACATTGGTTTGTGAGATGTGATTACAAATTAAAAATACTCTATAAACTACATGTCACCACTCTGAATGAAGGAATAGCCAACATACACAGTGGGCAAAAATAGATTTATAGTTGTGAATACATGAAACACAGAGTTTATTCTCGTATTATTATTATTAACTAGAGGCCAGTTCTCATATTATTATTATTAACTAGAGGCCAGTGCATGGATTCATGCACAGGCAGGGCCCCTCGGCCTGGCCTGTGCTCTCTCGCAATCCAGAACCTCTTGGGGATGTCGGATAGCTGGTTTCTGCCCAATCCCTGCAGGCCTGATCCCTGCAAGCCTAATCCCCACAGACCTGATCCCTGCAGGCCCAATCCAGACAGGAGAGAGCCCTATCGTGTGCATTGAACATCTGTCCCCTGGTAGTCAGTGTGCATCATAGCAACCAGTCAACAGGTCATTCAATCACTTAGGCTTTTATGTATATAGATTATTTCTTTTCCATATGAACTGTAAACCTACTTTTGCCCACCCATGTATTTAGTAAATTAGGATTTTTTGAAGTTATTCCAAATAAGAATATTATCTTCCAAATACTTTATCATTTAAAAAAATATAGTTACCTGCAAGAAAGATGTAAAACCGAAGAGATTTTTTTTTTTCAAATAGTGGGGATTGTAACTGTGAATTAGTATGGGATAACATATTAGGTCTAGTAATAAGTAATGTCGTTTTCTAATACTTTTTTTAAATCGAATTTATTTAAACAATACAACAAAATTTAATCAACAATATAGTTGCCATTGTTTTCTACTACTTGTGCCCAACGCTCAGGAAGCATTTTAATCCCTCTGTTGTAAAATTCTTGTGATTTTGATGCAAAAAATTCGGTCAATGCATTTTTGAGGCATTCTTCATTATTAAATTTTTTTCCAAGAAGAAAGTTTTGCAAAGAACGAAACAAATGGTAATCGGAAGGGGCAATATCAGGAGAATATGCAGGTTGAGGGAGAACTTCCCATTCCAACTGGCACAGTTTTTCAGCAGTGATTCTTGCAGTATGTGGTCGTGCGTTATCGTGGTGAAGAATTACGCCCTTCCGATTAATCAGCGTGGGTTCTTTTTCTCTTAAAGCTTGGGCTAACCTTTCCAATTGGGCACTATACACTGCACTTGGAATGGTTTGGTTAGATGGTAAAAGTTCATAATGAAGAATTCCTTTAAAATTCTACCAAACACATCATTTTTTTCGCATGCAAGTCAGGTTTTGGCGTGGGCTGCAGAGCCTCATTTTTGTCCAACCATTGAGGCCGCCTTTTCAAATTAACATACAGCACCCATTTTTCATCTCCGGTAACAATTTGCTCTAAAAACGGCAAACGGTTTTGACGAGAGAGGAGCGAACTGCAAATTGTGACTCTTTGATTACGGTTGTTGTCGGTCAACTCATGAGGAACCCATTTTCCAAACTTTTGGACTTTGCCAAGTGCACGCAATTAATTGGAAATTGTTTTTTGTGAACAATTTAAAGTTGTCGCAAGCTCTTGTTGGGTAATTTGAGGATTTTGCACCAAAAGAGCTTGAAGAGCTTCTTGATCAAAATTGGACACACGGCCTCGACCACTCTTGTCATCTAACGAAAAATTTCCCTCGCGAAATTTCTCAAACCAACGCTGGCATTTTCTGGCGCTAACTGCATCTTGACCAAGAGCACTACAGATGTTTTTTGCAGCCTCACTTGCTTTTCTTCCTAATTGTTACTCGTAAAGCATGCAGTACCGAATATGCTCTTCATCCGCCATCTTCTTAGCCCTAGTTTTGCAACAAAAACCAAACCAAACACAAACTTTTTCAAGCAAAACTTGTTAATTGCACTTTACACGTTCTGTAGATACCACGTGTTTGAAGGTTATGTCAATACAAGTCAACGCCAAGCAAGATTTTAAATGAATGTTTAAAACGACATTAATTATTACTAGACCCCATATTAAGAATGTGGGCTCTGACATAAGCATAACCAATGGACACAAGACACTAGAGGTTGGGAGGTGGGGGGGTATGTGCCAGGGGGTAAGGGAAGCCAGGGGAAGGTCACTGGGGGAAAAAAAGGAGACATATATACTACTATTTGTAATACTTTAAAAGAGTATAGGCTCTGGATTCAAATGGCTGGCTCTGACACTCATTAGCTTTGAGATCTTGGGCAAATTATTAATTTTCTGTGCCTTTTTTTGTCTATAAAATGGTAATGAGAGTATCTGCTTCATACTGAGTATGAAATGCTCATGACAGTGCCTGGCATATGGTAAGATCTACACTAATAAAAGAATAAGATGCAAATTGACTATACCTTCACTATGCCCACCAGCCAATCAGGAGTGAGTATGCAAATTAACCCAACAAAGATTGTGGGTTGGTTTGCATATGTAAATGCCAAACTGCCAGGGCTGAGGTGTTTCACACCGCTCCAGCCACTCCAGGCCTCTGGGCAGCATGGGAAGCCGGAAAGACGGCTCTGGGCCAGAGCAAAAAGGCAGCTCCGGCTGGAGCCAAGATGGTACCGGCAGCCAAGGGAAGGAAGGCCCATTCTTGCAGGAATCTTCATTCACTGGATCTCTAGTAACTAGATAAATGTTAGCTCCTGGGCTGCCATGCTGCATAGCTCACTGGACTATGCAGTGCATGGTCTGTGTCAGTGTATGCTGCAGCTCTGGTCAGCTGCCACTATCATTATTATTACTTTTACTACTATTATTATTATTATTATTATTAGAGGCCTGGATGAATGAAGAATCGGGCAAAAATGGGCCTTCCTTCCTCTGGCTACCAGCACTGCCTTTGCTCCTGCCGAGTTGTCTTTCTGCTTTCTCATGCTGCGCAGAGGCCTGGAGCAGCTGGGATGATGCAGAATGCCCCTGGCCACTCAGTACCTGTGTATGCAAATTAACCTGTCATCTTTGGTGAGTTAATTTGCATATCCACTCCTGAATAGCTGGTGGGCATTGTGAAGGTATGGTCAATTTACATCTTTTTTTTTATTAGTGTAGATTATTATTTTTAAAAATATATGTTTTATTGATTTTTTTTTTTTTTTAAACAGGAAGGGAGAAGGATAGAGAGTTTGAAACATTGATGGGAGAGAAACATCAATCAGCTGCCTCTTGCACACCTCCTACTGGGGATGTGCCTGCAACCAAGGTACATGCCCTTGACTGGAATCGAACCTGGGACCTTTCAGTCCACAGGCCGATGCCTTATCCATTGAGCCAAACCAGTTAGGGCTAGATGATTAG